CTTTCCCTTGTACTTGCACATAGCTCTAGTTTATTTGATTTCAAAATCTAAATGACATTATAATTGAATACTGTCAGAATCAAGTTGTTGACTTTTGCGTAGGTCTAGATTTCTGGCTTTGGCAGGTCAGTCTGACCCTGGGGGAGTGGTGGCAGGTGACTTCATCCTATAGGGATGGGCCATGTTCATGTTTTCAGCATATCTCAGCATTGAGAGTAATCAGGTCTAGGAACCGTCAAGCACCTGAAATCCAGGCGATCCAAATTAATTAAGGAGCCTGGAACCTCAGTGACCTGGTGAGCAGGAACAGACATGAGGGCTATAGCTTGGGAATTCCTACATGCAAGTTTTCTCTCTGCTTTACCTTTTCCTTGAATTTCAATGGATCTTACTGGGCTTTAATTTTTTTTTCCCTAAAGATCTCAATATTGCTGATGTTCTTAAGATAAAAATAATTTCATGAAAGTGCTATATTAGTTCATATTAGTCCTAACTCGTCTCTCTCCCACTGCCCTCCCTATCAAAAGTACACTTCTCTACAATGAATATCAATGAATATTGTCAAAATATAATTACCTATGATATGGAAGTATAAACAATAGATTATGTGGCAAAAATAGCAGGAAGACGGTTCTAGACATGTAGAAGTTCTAGAAGGATTAAAATCACCTGATATTTCACATTGGTGCAGTTAGAGGATATGAGCTCACTCAAGAGTAGCAGAATTTTGCTCTTGGTTACTAAGTGCAAGTTAATTTATCATTCAAATTTTAACTGCTTTGGTGTGGAAAGCTTTCCATTGAGATAATAAAGCTGTTGCTATGTCTAAATGCAACCAGGACATTTAGATTTTTATGAAATACTCTCATTAATTAAAGATATCTGTGACACCTCTTGGCTTTAAAAGGCTTACTTATTCAGTGTGAGGGAGACATGTCATTTAATTCTAATTTCATCAAGATAGCACAGCAAAAACACCATTAAAACCCTTATATTATAGTAGAAAGAGTGGTGGAAAGGCAGGTCAAAATCACAAGCATATGTCCTGGTGTGTGCAGACATCCCCCATGTGGGTTCTGTGCCAAAAAATTTTATGACAAAGTAAGCTCCAAATCCATTTCAATTTTTACCAAAGTTCAATTGTGTATTTTGCCATTTTTTTTTACTAGCTTGTAATACTGCTATAGAGTCCTAAACAGGAAATTTGAAGAAAACAGGCCTTCGTCTGTCACCTGGTCTTTATGTGCAGACAGTGAAAGACTGACTGACTTTCATGCGGTTCCTAACATTGCAACAGAAGTGAATCATAGCCAATTTATCATCAGTATCAGACTATTTCATGCCTTTCTTGCTTTATTACTCTTTTACATTCCTTAATAAAATTCCTGAGGAAAGAGTTGAAAATCTGACCCATTTTTTTTTCTCCATCATTAGGTATACTTTACAAGGAGAATGCTAGATTGTGTAATGATTTATTCCTCAATTAAGATTTAAGTACTGCGTATTCTTCATAAAGTAACAATTGGTGAGTTTTTCATGTAACAGCTTTGCAGCTGATGGTTTCTGACAATAGTGCTTTTCAGAGACAACTAGATCAAGTAAAAGAAATATGGGGAAATAACACCATAAATGTGTTAAGATGCTTAAGATTAGGCCAAAGCAAATGCTAAAAAAGAATGTAACAGAAATATGTATATGTTTAATAGTCATTTGGATCAGATCCTGCCCACCTCTTACACTTCATCAATATCTCCAAGCACCTGGGAAGGCTTCTTTCCTGGCTGGCTCAGAAACATAGTGGACCAGAGCCAGCAGCCGGGTCTTTTGGTCCCTGCAGTGTGCTGAGGCAATATTTGGCTTGTGGAAAGGCTGTTAGGAGCCAGTCCAATTTGGAGCAGGTGTGGAGTTGTTCTACTCTGTGCTCAAGAGGGCACTGGCTCAAGAGTGCACTGGAGTCTACTAAAACCGACATAAAGCTGCCTCTATGTTCCTGAGTCCAGAAATACTGCAAAAAGGAACAGGGTACTACAATGATAACATGCGAATAGCAAGACAAGGAGATATAAAAAATTTGTCATTTTTAACATGCTAGGGAAAGGAAGTCCAAATGGAAGATCTAGATTGCATTAGCTGAATACATTGGGCATGGATTCTGTTAAAGGAACAAAAAGCAATAAAATACAGAGTTTTTTTAAGGATTTTATGTGGGAATAAAAAAATTCTTATGTTTTGAAATAATAAAATATTTGAAATAATAAAAATATTTGGATACTCCAAGGCTTGAGCAAATTCTGCTATTGATGAAGAGAGGGAACACTTTCAGGTTAGACCACTGTCATAGCTCCACTATTATTTTGTACTAATCCACTCTTTACTCTCTCTGTAAACTTTTCGCCCATATTTCATTATTTCATATTGATCTAAAATTAGGTCATCTGGTGGAATAGTTCACAGATACAGAGCAAAGTACTATTGGTCCCTGTTTTTCTGGGGATTTGATCATGCCACTTTTTAAATTTATTGTTATTACAGCTAAGAGACCTTACCATGCATGCCTTCAACATCCATAAAACTATATTAGCTTAGCACTGAAAATCCTGTTCATGTTAGTTTAATAAAACAGGCAATTAAACCAATTCCTAAGGTAAAAATGACAGACTAAGGCCTGTGAACAGGTCATCCTAAGGAAGGTAAAGGGAATTCAGTGATATCTATGGATACCACGGGCTAAAGCTCACAGAATTTGCATTTAGAGACTAAAACTGGTTGAAAATTAAGGTTGTTTTCAGAAGGGTAAATATTTTCCAGTGAGTTATAGGGTTCCTGGCAATGTATTAAATGTCCTGACAAAAGGCTCAGTTTTCCTGGTAACTCTTCACAGAATCTTTTCAAAGACAGCAGAAATCCAAACAGCAAGGCTAAACCCACTCTAATCTAGCAACATCTCAGCAACATCACACAGGATTTAGTAAATATTACTCAAAGTAAATGTTATATTGATGCTTTTGAATGTTTCCCTATCCATAATTCCGATGAATGGAAGAAAGGAAATGATTAGTTATTTGGGTTTTCACATATGGAGCAAGCAAGAAGATAGGAGTCAGAATCAGAATCTAACTGAACCTGGCAGGGAAATTTTCTTAACAATGAGAAAATTTTAGATAGAATCCAAAATTCCTGTCTGAAAAGACAAAGTAAAAAGAATTAATCTTTTGTCTCCTAAGCGCTACCAGGGAACATCAGCACCCAGACCTCTCATGGCGTAAGCACCAGCTGAAGTGAGTATTAAATTCTGATGGTTTCACCTACAGTAATTTGAACTATTAGCATCTGTCCTCTTCACTCAAGAGCTTTCATAGCTCCCATACTACTAGGTCATGGAGAAGTGACCATAAGCTGCTTTCTGGCTGGTGCAGCTCCCAGGCTAATACCTTTACCAAAAAAGTTAGAAAAAGTAGATTTGTACAGTTAATGGAAGCAACTGAGGAATGGCCTTTTTTTTTTTTTTTTGGTCACTTCCACAGGGCAGGTATTGGAATCAGTAACACACTGAGCTTTGTCAGCTGGGGCATCTGTAGCTCAAGAGTTTAACCTCACATAGTGCAAATATATTGCATTGTTGTAAAGTATAGTAGTATAGTGTATTATATTAGGCTTGTAGAAAAGGACAATGATATGAATCCTAGAATAATCTATTTAAGTTACTCTATGACCACATGGGAATTTTTTCCTTAAATACACAAATAAAGAAGCTGAACAGAGTGTCTGGAACAACTGAAGAATTAGAGCAGAGGTCCACCCTCCTGTTAGCCTTGATGTTTTGATTTTAGTTTCACCAGAAAATCCTGTTGTAAATGTTTTTCTCAGAATATGTTTTGTTTGGTAAGCTTATCTAAAGCTAAGACACAGTCACAAGTGAATCCCATAGCCTCTCTTGACCAGTCTCCATCCAGTCCAGGGCCCTCCAAGGGCTCCTCAGTGAGCTCTGCATTCCTGAACCAGCTCATTTGTGCTTGAAATGTTGTGTGGATAGAGCTGGAGACCTGGGATATAAGCAGACTTGAAGCTAAAAGCATCATCTTACCTGGATCAAACAACTGAGGGAAGAAAAGCCCACAAACTAAGCAAGAAGGAAGAGAAGGGAGTGACAGACAGAGATTTGGTTATAATATTACTAGCTAAACCCTTAACTCATCCTCATCAGTTTTTCTTCAAGTGGCCATTGTGAAAGTGGCTTATGGAAATGATTAAATTTAATTTGGGATTAAAAAAAGGAGAGAGGCAAAGGACAAGGCACAGAAAATCGGTGTGAAAATCTGACATTGTCCCTGCTGACATATATTTATGATGCTAAAAACAATCACATAAAAAATATTTCATTCCGCCCTTTGCCTGAATTACAGCTATGTAAATTATGGTTAGAAGCAACATTTTAATAACGTTTCAGTGGCAAAAAAAACAATGTCAGCCCAGTCTAGATTCTGTTCTGCCTCATGGCCACAAGTGTCAGACATTTACTGAAATTACTGATGTCTGTAACTATATTACGAGTGATGATATAAAAAAGCAGTTTGCTGGTGACAAAGGGTTACAGCTCAAAAATATTTCAAGTACAGATATGAATGATTTTGCCTCTCCAGTGGGTAGGATAAATTAGTCCAGTGCCGGGGACACTGGTGGCTTCAAGCACAGCTCAGACCCACACATTACCGGAGGAGGGGACAATCCACCCATCCACAAACCCATCGAGTCCAAGCATTGCTACATTTACAACTAAGGCATCCAGCTGTTCTGTGGGATACAGCATCTGTGGTGCCAAAGCCTCCCTTTAAATATATATATGTGCATATATAGAGAGAGAGAGAAAGAGAGAGAGAAAGAGAGAGAGAGAGAGTCTTTTCATTCATTTGTATTTTCGATCTCTTATTTGGCAATTTCAGTCAGGAAGATGAGAAGGAAGACCTTATCAGGAGAGTGTATTTTTTGTAACTTTAATAAAAACTATGTACTTCTGGTGTTCAGCCCTATCCATGAATGACAGGGAATGACCAGCAAATGCCAAAGGTCTGGGAGGATGCAGAAAATTTACCTGGTCTTCCTAAGGCTATGACCTCAAAACGCTTTGGGTCTCCTGGAGAACCACAAGGTCCTCCACCAAAAAAAACATTGCATTGGGGTTTGGATCAGGCATGGTGAGAAAACCTCTTTGTGTTGCATCTCTAACATATATTTCTTCACTGGATTAGCCATACTGGAAAGGGGTGCTCTAACGTAGCGGTGTCATTAAGGCAATGCACAGGGGAAGGAGAAGAGACTAGAATACATCTTGATAAAATATCAGGAGGAAGAAAAGGGTTTGCCTGCCAGCAAGGATGGTGCAGATAGATTTGGGGAAATAGAAAAGCAGAAAGACTAGATTTTTGTTCAGGGAGGAGCCTGGTACCTGGGGAACATAGTGTACACAAGAGACAGCTGAAATTGTTAGAGAAATACAATACTGGAAGCTGACAACATAATATTGTCTTTCTAGCCTCAGATTCACTTCTAGATGGAGATAGTGTATTTCTATTCTGAGAATAACTTTGTTTTTCTACACATACTACACCCCTTCCCTTTCCTCCCTGTTTCATTCTGACATCCCACAGATGGCTGGGAAAAAAAAAAAAAAGAAAAAAGATTAAAAATAAAGGATAAAAGGATAAATGCTGCTCTTCATTTCTGCCAGCAAAATCCTCCCTCCTGCATTTTACATAACGAATTCTGGGGCACAAAAACTGTGCTGGTCATTGAGCAAACGAGAGATGGAGCAAAATTTTATTGCATTAGCCAAGAAAGCATTTTAAAAATGGTTGCATCAAAGGTCAGATCTCTGGCTAGCAGCAGTAAGTTCTGCTCTACATTGAAAAGCTTTTCAGGTGCATGGCTGATTTACAGGATGCAGGGACTCAGGACTCTCAAGTGAAGCTGATACTGCAAGGAAGTCATATTCCAATGAGCTTTCTATATGTGTAGCCTCGTGGAGCTGACATTAACTAAGACACGGCTTTATCTAGCAGTGTACAGCAGAATCACAAGCAGGGACATTTCAAGGAGACAGGTGGATGCTTTGTAAAACTGAAAGGAAATATCCTTGCCAGAATACAAAATCCCTCTCCTTACTTTTATCCACATTTATTACTAAAGCTTAGACTGTAAACAAGGCTAGACTGAGAGACATTTTCTTTACAAGCCGCAAAACTTCAGACTATAAATATGATCATAAAACAATACAGCCTAGTATATTGTATGGATAAGCTGGGAATAGACTTTTCAAAATCTGGTTTTGATTAAAGCTAAGTAAGATCAAATCTGGCCATGATGTGAAAAGGGAGCTAGGTGGGGACTAACCAGCCTTGGTGCTACAAGGACAAGTATCTCGGTACCTGGAGCGCATGTATCAGCAGCACTAACAGAGATTTTGGGAGAGTTCAGCTTCCAAATAATACCAGGTAAATTCATGCCTGGCTAAGGAAAAAGGGTGAGGCCTTCTAAGCAACATGGCTTGGCCGTGATATTAGGGAGTTGTTTTATGTGTCGCACCAGCTTGGCTGCTACAAAGAATCACAGAATCACAGACTGGTTAAGGTTGGAAGGGACCTCTAGAGATCACCTACTCTAATCCCCCTGCTCAAGCAGGGACACTGAGAGCGTGTGGCACAGGGTGGCATCTAGCTGGGTTTTGAAGATCTCCAGAGAAGGAGACTCCACAACCTCTCTGGGCAGCCTGTTCCAGGGCTCTGGCACCCTCACAGGAAAGAAGTTCTTCCTCACATGGGTATTAAAATTCCTATGTTTCAACTTACACATGTTACCCCTTGTCCTGTCACCAGCCACCACAGAGAAGAGCCTGGCCCCATCCTCCCTACAATCACCCTTCAGGTACTTAAACATGTTGATCAATCACTGATCAATCTGATCAAGACTGATCAGACTGATCAATCTCCTCTCAGTCTTCTGTTCTTCAGACTAAACAGGCCCAGCTCGCTTAGTCTTTCCTCATATGATACAATGCTCGAGTCCCTTAATCATTTTCATGGCTCTATGCTGGACCCTCTTTAGAAGTTCCACATCCCTCTCGTGCTGAGGAGCCCCGAACTGCACACAATACTCCAGATGTGGCCTCACCAGTGCTGGGTAGAGGGGCAGGATCACCTCCCTCAACCTGCTGGAGACGCTCCTCTTCTTAATGCACCCCAGGATCCCATTGGCCTTCTTGGCCATGAGGGTACACTGCTGACTCATGCTTAACTTGTCGTTAACCAGGACTGCCAAATCCCTCTCTGTGGAGCTGCTTTCCAGAAGGTCAACCCCTAATCTGTCCTGGTGCCTGGGGTAATTCCTCCCCAGATGCAGGACCCTGCATATCTCCTTGTTGAACCTCATGAGGATCCTCTTTGTCCAACTCTCCATCCTGTCTAGGTCCCTCTGAATGGCAGCCCAGCCCTCGGGAGTGTTGGCCACTCCACCCAGTTTGGTATCATCAGCAAACTTGCTCAGCGTGCAGTCTGTCTCCTAGTCCAAGTCATTGATGAACAAGTTGGAGAGCACCAGGGCCAGTACTGACCCTTGTGGGACACTCCTGGCCACAGGCTCCCAACTAGACTCAGCCTCATTTATCACCACCTTCTGGGCTATGCCAATTCAATTCACTGTGACATGATCCAGTCCACACTTCCTAAGCTTTCCTATGAGGACGTTATGGGAGATGGTGTCGAAAGCAACATCCAGGGCTCTCCCAACGTCCATCCAGCCCGTCATCTCGTTGTAGAAGGCTATCAAGTTGATGAAACACGACTTTCCCGTAGTAAATCCATGTTGACTACCCTGCTTGATGTCAGGTCAGGGTTAAATCCAAAACAAAGAGTTTTTTTTTTTTTCCTGTAGATCTAGTAATTGAGGTCTGTAGAAAGGCAAGATGACAAATACCAGTCTTATTCAAGTTTATCTCTAGGATCAGTTTAACTAAAACAGTCCTCTTGTTGATTTGTATCCCTCACTTGAGTTTTCAACTCAGCAGATTAATATTTTCATTAGCAACATGGGCAGAGCCACATCTCATTTACCTGTAAGTTCCTCATTGGGCCAGGAGCCAAGCTGACAGGCCTTGCATGTGTATTCGTCGGAGACATACTCATTCTCTTTACAAGGAGTACAGGTCCAACAACAACTGACTTCTCCTTTACGGATCACCTGAGGCAAAAATTAACTTTTGTTTTAGCAGTATAAATGAGCATTCAAGTTGTGGCAATTGCTAATATAATTTCAGCATCTCTCTTTTTTTTTTTATACAAGCCTTTTATGTAAAATAAAATCTCTATCATGATATGTTTGCTGATACAAAATGTGGCCCAAATCTCATTTTTATGTGATAGATGTACTAGAAGAAAGAAACCTTCAGACCATGAGAAGTATAGCTGGATCTTCAGAACTACAATATTTTTTTTTCTTTATTTTTCTTCCCCTCTCTTAGAAGACAGTTTGCAAAGTTCAAAACCTCACAGAGGGCAAAGTACAGTAGGTGATATTCAAGGTATATAATTCATTCCACTGTGGTTCATACCTTGCACATAGAACCATGTCAGCATTTCCGTAAGGGTTCATTACCCAAAGATTTTTTTCACTTATTTCTTCATGCTGTTGTGAGTGCTTTGCTAAAACTGATGCTTTTCCAGATAAAATGATATTATTGCAGACTGAATGTCCCTTTTTTGCAACCATTTAATCTCATCCATTGTTAATTAATGCTTAATAGCAAGTATGCTATGTCTAACCATTTTAACATCTGCCCTGATTTCCCATTTTACAATTTACTGTCAAATATTCAAATGCAGACTTTTCAAAATCTTTATTTATCATGTCTGAGCACGGAAAACGTCTGTGTTTCTTGTCCATATATTAAGAGTGATGAGAAAACCTATAGTTTTATTTGAAATATTCTCAGTCTTTCTGCTCATTACATTCCAAAAATATATAAACAAATATTTCAGCATGCAGACTTGGTTCACATATGTATTTTTCACAGTGATAAATTTAGAAGGTAGTTTCAAAACCTAACATCATTATTGGAATTTTAATAAATGGAAAAATCCAAAGTGTGTAAACAAAAGAAGTTAAATTGCTCTTCCTATACCTCCAGTGAGATAAAAGGTGTAAACTTCATCATTTTCATCAGCAATATGAGAACTTTAAAAGTTCAATTTTTAGTTTTGTTTTTTAAAATTACATAGTAGGAAAGGATGGAAAAAATCACCTGAATTGCTAAATTGACAGAAAGGTAAAGTAGAAAATAAGTTATTTTCTCAGCAAGAGTTGAGACTGGAACTACTTGAAAAGCAGAATATTCTTTCCCAGAAAAGATGATACCTGAGACACAGATTCTATTAAACTTGATGCATTATAAAGATGCATCATTTTACAAAATACAAAATACTCAAGAAAATGACAAAATGGCAAAAAGGAAACAGTGTTATTATAAAAAACCTAACTCTTCTTTATCAAAGGAATTCTTTTTCAGTTTTCAGTTAAACTTTTCAC